TTTCGGTGCAATTACGGCATCAACTATGTGAAAGTAAATGATGATCTTCCGAATTTTTCCAAGAATCTAATCTCGGACTGACAAAATTTAAACATTGTTGTGCCGCAACGAAACATGGATACTTTGAATCAAATCATCTGGAATAACAGGTTTACAAAAGTTGATAAGTCGTCGGTGTTTTATGAAAACTGGTATCGTGCTGGCAAAAATAAAAATTATGTATGGTGTTTGAAATTCATTTTGTTTCACCCTAAGCCATCTTATTCTTATTGGCAAATACTCTCTCTATATTTGTTCTCTTATTCTAGGGGATACCGATTTGCGGATTTCACTACGTACCCTTGTGCAGGTATAATTATAGCTTAAAAAATATATCGCGATCTCTGCCAACAAATACAGTTCCTTCCTTAAGAAATGATCTTGCTTTGTTCAAAAATAACTTGTTTTAAATAATTCTAATCTGGTCATCAAGGCCGATAAACCAACAATTTTGGTCCAAGAACATCTATGATGATACCTTTTCCTGTAATAAAAGAAAAGCGAAAGAAAACCGGCAAGGCTTTTGCCCTGGTTTTGTCACTTTCTCTTGTTTTTGTTTGTTTNTTTGTTTGTTTGTTTTGTTTTTCCTTATCTTTTATTGGTATGTAAGCGCGTATGTTTAATCAGTAGTATTGTAAGTAATTTTTAGTGTTGTTACGTTGGTCGTAATTGAAAAGTAAGGAAGCAGTATAGCATCATTAAGTGTATTTTAGAGAAATAAAATATAGTATGTAGGTAACTTATATGTTTATGCAATTTATTTATAATAAAAAGGAGCATTGTAAGTAGGCCATCTGTTATTTAATTAGCGTAATTGTATTGTTATATATGTATTGTAAGTAGTGCATGTGTAAGTAGTGTAAGTATAAGTTCTAGTGTAAGCAGCAAGTATATTGAAAGTGTAAATGTAAGTATAATATTAGTACTGTGAGCAATGTAAGTGATGGTCTTGTAAATAAAATTGCGTTAGTAATAATAAAAGAAAGAGAGGACGCCAAGGTACTTGAATGACATATCACTAACCAATCACAGCAATCGATTAAGTATTTAATTAATTCTGACCTATCATGATTTTTACGTTCATCTGGTGGATGAAATTCTGCGGCTCTCGAACTTGTATAGGCCAAGTACGTGAACTTGCCTTACTTGAAAACTACTGTGAACTTGAACGGCTGTAGCTGAAGCATCATATGTTGAAGGCGCCTGGAGGCTTTACTCAAGGGTTTTTGAAAATCGTTTCGGCTGGTGGTCAGAATGTACTACAACATTGTTTACCACAATTATACTGCTAGAACTTTGTACAGGCTCCTTTGATGGCCAGACATTCTTTGTCAATAGGAGCATAGTTGACGTCAGTTGCTGACAGTGTCGAATTTGTAAAAGCCACAGGTTACCCATCTTGCAGTAGGGCATTGGCAAGGCCTGTGTCACTGGCATCCACTGCGTAACACACGCGGCTTGATCACATCAAAGATATTCAGTGTCGTTGGATTTGCAATTAAGCATTTGGCTGTCTTAAAAACCTTGTCATCCTGGGAGGAGCATGACTACACTGCATTCCGGTATGTCAGCTCAGTGAGCGGCTTCACAATTTCTGTAAGGTTTGGGGTGAAGCGTTACAAATAATTGCACGTGCCCAGGAACCGCTGAACCCCTTTTACATCTTGCGGTGTGGTCATGTCCTTAATGGCCCGGACCCGATCTGGATGTT